TTTTTTTTTTTTTTTTTTTTTAAAGGAATTCGATAATTTACTGAACCACTCGCTAAGTCTCTGATTTAAAAAACTCTGGATTGAAGGGATAGAGACAGAAAACCATCATGTTTCACTCAGTTTCTGCATAATCGAAGCTTTTCTTTTACAACAAAGGGAATCTTTTATCGTTCCATATGTTGATTTCTTTGGACCGTCCACTTCTTTTGAGGTAAGATTCGGCCTTCTAACGGCCACAATTTATCACATTAAATGAATTGTGATCAGCGGTTACCTGAACAATCAGTTTGTCCGGTGGAAGCGTATCGATTGCACGTGGTTTCCTGGTGACGCTGCGCCCGGGATGTCCGAGCTGCTCGCCTTCACCGCAACTCAACACTCGGTCACCTTTATCGGTTGGTAGGAAGTTGGCAAGCAATAAATGAAACTTCTTCATTCGTCGTGATGATGCCGTACTTACTGCGCTGCTGTCTGGAAAAAGTTTTAGTGCCCTCTTGCAACAATTTATGAAGCGGGTCCAGTTGTGGTGTTGAGCTAAGACGTATACGACTTAGTGGGCTGAAAGTTAGTTTTGGACAATAAATAGTTAAAAAAAAAATTAAATTCCGGGACACCAAAAATTCAAATTTTGAAAAAAACAGAACTCCATACTTAGCCTTAGAGACGAATTTAGCTCAATCATTTTTTCCTAACTTTCTAATTACCCGCTTTCTGCACTACGTGTTCCTCTGTCGGGACAGCTGTTCAGCAGATAATCCCTTCAGCTCTTTCCGATAAAGGATCCCCGAAAAACCTAATACGTTTCTGGCAATTTCAGGAAAAACGATTTTGTTGTTCCGCTTTTACTGCTGTCCAAAGAGGATTTGATGAAAAGCGAAAATAACTTACTGGCTGCTTCATCCTGGGAAGCGGCACTCACATCGAGTACCGCACTTTTGCGTTTACGTTCACGCACATTTTTCTTCATCGGAGTGTTTTCAACTCCACCCTAAACAGGAAACTTTTTGATTAGTTTTTCAAAAAAAAAAAAAAAGGCCGGGGATGTGGGGGAAGGAGAGAGGGCAGAGGGGATGGGGAGAGAGGCATACATTGTATCTGCAAAAGGAGGTACAAAAGTGATATTTTCGAAAGATTCTCAAAAGTGATGCTTTTTTTTTTCGAAAGTAAAGAAAATGGCCGCCCCATCAACGGAGTTGAATTTTCGATGTTTGCAAAAAATAACTACTAACGAAAGACATACTTACATTGCTTGACGGTTGAGGGGGAGCTTCACGTGGCGCACTTTCGTCCGGTTTCACATTTTTTGCTGGCGTCTTCGTTTTAGCTGTTGCAGTTCCCGTCGCTTTTGTCTGCTTTTTGCCACGAGCATTACCCTTTTTCTTGACTTTTCGATTTTTTGTTCGCACAATTGGTTGCGTTACTTTTCGGGCCACTTTCCTCGGAGGCATGGCCTGTAAAACACCTGCAATTTCACTTGAAAGCAACGCCAGGAAAGAAGAAAATACGAAACGTGATCACTGACGAAAGCAGAAGAGCGAACACTGACTGTGACAGAAAGAGAGACAGACAGGCAGCAATGGAGCAAAGGATGCTTGGAGGAATCCACGACATCGGTTCTGTGGTCAGAGCAACTGAGATTATCCAGTGCTACATCATCTTATGGTCAGCCTGCTGCTTGCGATCCTAATGTTCGTCCCGTCTCCTGAACGGATTACCAGTTCGACGGTTTTCCGGATAGAAGCATTTGGGAAGAATTTAGTTTTTTTTGCATACCATCCACCTTGCCAGTTGCAGACCACAGTAAGGTGTACCCTCCTGGTCGGGGGGAGTCTCGATGTTTGTCCTCCCCGGAAATGTCCACACTAAGGTGCGTTCTTCCGTCTTCCAACGTGAGATGGACAACGACGTGGGGGACCCCCTGACCACCGATGAAAACGTAAAATTCACGGGGTTCGATATGTTGTTCATCTTGCTGACAATCGATGGACGTCACGCATTAGGGAGTGAAACCCATGAGAAAGTAAACGACCACTCGGGCAGCTCCCGAAGAGATGCGGAACACTTACACAGAACAGGCGATGGGTACTAACTGGAGGTACATGCAGTGATCACACTTAGGTTCTTACTGTGGGCGTGGCCTAATGTGTCACTAACATCTATAGGGCTTCTGGTCTATACGGTATGTGGCGATTTCACACAACGGAAATGCGTCGCTTTCGGACTTGGCCGAGCCCGTTAGGACTGTTTGGGATCTGTCCAATGGACCTGCCGCTGTCATTTCAATTTCCCGCATCTTCAGAAGAAAACCTAGGGAATCTTTGCCAGACGGACATCGATTAGCCGTGAAATACTTGCCGTGCAAAGAATCGATATAATTATTCTCCGTTTGTTAAACTTTTCTCCTGGTTCAGGTGGTTTTAAGTACCTAGGTTGTCGGAGGTGGGGGAGGGAGTGAGGCACGGAGGCCGAAGAAAGAGGGAGGGGGAGGGAGGCAAGAAGTAAGTCTGGATGGTGGGAGGATGAGAATAATGATTTGGATTAACTAGACTCTTTGCTTCGAAAGATTTACTTA